GCTTCAGTTTAGTTTGCATGCGGGCTCCATCTTGTACCTCCTACAGTTGGATGATTGGATACAGTAGAGGAGTTTTGTCCTCTCAGGCCTTAAAATATAACTAAAGGTAAAAACTTTTTTTAGGGTAAAGTGGAGAGGGATTGGAAGGTGTCAGTTTTTATTGCTTTCTTTGTCCCCATTAAGGAGATTCACCTTCTTTGTCCTGTTTACCATTGTTATTGAAAGTAAAAAAAAAAAAATCCCAAATTAAGTTTTTCCCCAGAAAAGTAATAGAGGTTAAAATCTTCCAATGGGACCTGGCGCTCCCCAAGAAATTCCATTAATTTGTAGGGGATTCCTCACTTCCTGTTTGGCTATGTGACAGGAAGTTGAAGAGAAAATCTCTGAAATTGGACCCTCCCTTGCTCTATCTAACATGGAAAAAAAAAAAGGTTTTATACCTATTGATAGGTAAGAGGGTAAATTTTGTCTGACAAATTTCTTTTTTTTTTTTAACCTTTAAATGATTTATATTTATTTTAACGTCATCATCACAGCATATTTCCCTATAGTCCTGCTCAGTAAATTGCTTTTTTTTTTTTTGCTTTTTTTTTTTTTTTCCCCCCCTCAGTAAAAAGCGCGAGAGACTAAACATTTAGAGTTTGGAAAATTCTTCTCCCAGTGCAATTTCTGCTGAGAGCAAAGCTACAGTTTGCAAATGTTAGGGAAAAAAAATATTCTTTTCCAAATGCTACATAGATGATAAAATGCATCCTTTCATTCCAGAGGTTCTCTTAAAGACAAAATTGTACTTTCAATTTGTAAAACTATGCCACATGGCTTCAAAAATTTTTTGGAAATGTTCTAGCTCTACCCTCCACTGTGTTAAGCCGCTTTTAACACAGGGCCATCTAGCCCTTCACAGCGATCTGCGCCTGTTTGCTGGTGTTTTACCGTGGGGGAGGCACAGATGCAGGGTCATGTAGCTGCTGGTTGCAGCCTGTCAACATCCAAGGCAGGCTGTGGCTGAACGCTGTACTGAGTGCTACTTCTATGTAGGGGCCCTAGCCCTAAAATGTTGTGGTCCAATCAATAGGTGCTCCTATTGTAATGCTGGCTTTTTTTTTTTTTTTTTAAAAGAAAAAGTGGAACTTTTTTTTTTACAAATTTATTGTATTTTTTGATCCTAATAAAATATAAGCTATATTGTAGTCCCATTACAGAACCCCAAGTTGTGACAATTCTTTGGGTCATGGGAGTCTGATGATTATCATTACAGAAGCCTGACCTTCTCTACACACGTGACCATAGCACCAGGAAGTAGTAGCTGTGTCATCACTGCACTTAAACTGTCTGAGGAGATGCAGACTACCCAGCTTCTGTGTGTGTCATTTTAGGAAATAGTATCACCAAAACATGAAAATCTTTGACTCCTCCATGTACAGATTACATGGAGCACTTGGTCCCATCCCAAGCTGTGCAATAAAAAAACAAAAAAAAACAAAACATACTTCCTTATGTCTTTTTGCTGACTGTAGCTCCAGGCCGAAGCCCAAATTATGGGCATTCCTATAAGGTAGCACAGGGAGTAGTAGCAGTGTCATCACTACAAAGGCCTGACCTGTTGTAGAGAGGTCACCATAGCAACAGGAAGCATCAGTATCATCACTAACGTGGCCTGACCTGTTGTAGAGAGGTCACCATAGCAATAGGAAGCATCTGTATCATCACTAACGTGGCCTGACCTGTTGTAGAGAGGTCACCATAGCAACAGGAAGCATCAGTATCATCACTAACGTGGCCTGACCTGTTTGTAGAGAGGTCACCATAGCAACAGGAAGCATCAGTATCATCACTAACGTGGCCTGACCTGTTGTAGAGAGGTCACCATAGCAACAGGAAGCATCAGTATCATCACTAACGTGGCCTGACCTGTTGTAGAGAGGTCACCATCAGCCATAGCAACAGGAAGCATCAGTATCATCACTAACGTGGCCTGACCTGTTGTAGAGAGGTCACCATAGCAATAGGAAGCATCTGTATCATCACTAACGTGGCCTGACCTGTTGTAGAGAGGTCACCATAGCAATAGGAAGCATCTGTATCAATAGAGGCCTGACTGTTTCTGGATAGGACACAATAACAAGGAGCAGAAGGGTCATCATTGCAGAAGCCTGACCTCTTCTAGGCATATCACCAGAGTGACAAGGAGTGGTAATGTCCAGTTGCATACCTGCATCTAGCTGTAGCCTGGGCTCATTTATTTTGAACCCACCCCCTTCAAAAAAAAAAAAAAAAAAAAAAATTGGATTGAATAAATCAGAAATATGGTGTAAATTAACCAGATATTTAAGTGGAGGTATTCTGAAAGATAATATAAAACATAATTGAAGCAGCGTTCTTCAATTTTAATATCTCTAGATAATATAGGTGAGTGAACACTGACTTTTAGGGGTGGGGGGACCCCCTGTTTCATCTTCCCAAATCCTTATGTCGAAGGCAACCTGTGCCTGTTAAGGGGTACAGGGTGAAATGTTTTAATATGGGTGTGGGGGTTGTCCATTGTTCACTGCCATGTGGTTTGTCCATTGCCATGTTGCTGCATCCCATTGTTCCGTGTCTTGGTTTGGTGGGGGGGTGTTTCCTGCAGCTTTCCCCCTGCTGGGAGGGTCTCTGATGTGTTTTTCCCGTTTCCTGGTTGTATTTCCCTGCCCTGTGTATATATCTTGTGTTTTGCGTAAAAATAAAGGAGTTGACTTCCTGTCTTAAGAGTCTGGTGCTGTATTTCCTGCATGATCAGCGGTGGGGTCCGTGTGGATGGTGTTCGGAATGTGGGAAGCCTGAGTATAACAGAAATAGCCTAGCGCGGTCCGGTTCCGTTACAAACCCAAACCATGAAAAAAAATAGTATCGTACCAAAATCAGTAAAGTTCAATGAAACCAATCCATGAACACAAACGTAAAACAAAATATATGAACCAGTATCCAACAAAAATATACATAATTAATTGTGAAAATATGTATCAAACATTAACAATTATAAAAAAAGTGTCCAAAAAAATTAATTTGTGAACCAATAAATCTTTAACTTCTCTTATAATGTGAAAAATCCACCACCACATGAAATGATCCAGATATTTTAAATGGTACTATTCTGAAAGCCAATCAAAGCGATCTCACATTTTTCAATCTACTTAAAGGGGCAGGAGGTGGTGGGAGGAAAGGGTTAAAAGCGCAAATGGGCCTCTTCTAAATGCAATCAGGCTGCATCTACAGAAGATAATTTGCAATGTGCTGCAGCAAGGGTTAAATAACCTCGTGCTGCCAGCCCATTGGATAGTTGGTCCGCGGCTCTCCCACACAAGTGAGCAGATCGATCCGACACGTCTCTGCTTGAAAAAAAACTGCTCTAATCAACAGCACTCGGGAAGTGAGGGATATGGGATTAGAGTGGTGATCAGTTGGGCGGGTCGGCCCTCAGGAGAGTTGGGCAATTTCTTTTGTATGAGAGCCGTGGTCTGACTTTTTTTTTTTTTTTTAGTAATGAAGGCATATTTGCTACTGTATATACAGCCTGGTTGCATTACAGTAATACATGAAGGGTACATAGTTAGTCTGGCTGAAAAAAATGACAAGTCCATCCAGTTCAACCAAAAAAAAAATTATAATCCTACACCCACAGTTGATCCAGAGGAAGGTAAAAAAAAAAAAAAAACACCCAGCCAAGCACGATACAATTTGCTCCTGCTGGAAAAAAAAAATTCCTTCCTGATCCCCCGAGAGGCAATCGGATATTCCCTGGATCAACTTTCCCTATAAATGTTACATCCAGTTATATTCTGTGTATCCAAGAAAGAATCCAGGACTTTCCTACAGCAATCCACTGAGCTGGCCACACCCAACTCTGGAGGGAGTCTATTCCACATTCTCACAGCTCTGACTGTGAAGAAACCTTTCCGTGTTTGGAGATTAAGCCTGGGTTTCACACTGATGTAAGGCATTCACAGTGGTTTCTAAGCAAATTCAGCACCGCATCACATTCACACCCTGTTAACACCACCCCAAAAAGCGGTGCAATGTGCAGAATCGGATCGCATGGGTGTGAATACCCGTTTGGACCAAAAAAAAAGGGTCCTGCACTTTTTTGATGCAGTGCGATTTGAGCCATACAAAATGGCTCAAATTGCACAGCACAGAATTCACATTTGATTTGCACAGGAAGGCGGTGCAGTTCCTGTACAAAATCACATGTGAATATGCCGCACAAGTGTGAACCCGGCCTCAATCTCTTTTCCTGCAGACGTAAAGAGCTCCCCCTTGTCCTCGGGTGAATAGCTCTACACCGACTTCATAAATGAGTTTAAAATGACAAAACTACGTAACAATTGTATGTGACTGGCCTTACGACGTCAAGAGGTCTAGGACAAAAAAAAACCAGAAAAATGTAAAAAAAAAAAAAAATTAAATACATTTTTTTATTTTGTAAATTTAATTAAATTATTTACAAAATAAATTAAAAAAATTTTTTGTAAATAATTTAATTAAAATTTATTATTTTAATTAATTTAAATATTTATGAATTTTTAAATTAATTTAAAAAAATAATTTTAAATTAATCGATTAATTAAAAAAAAAAAAAAAAAAAAAAGACGTTCATAAACTTCAATAGTTGCAGTATCAGGTTATGATGATGAGAGGAGCATAGTAGTAAAACAAAACAGACTTCCATGGGTCGGGTTTGCATAGTCAGATTTAATCAGGAGCGACTGAAGAGAGGGATTGTTACAGCAGCACAGACCGTACAAAACGCCGCTGGCGCTGGAGGGTTGTGTCCTTAGACCGGCAATGTCCGCTCTTAAACCGCAGAGACGCATCAATCACCGGCGTGTACACAGAATGGGCGGAGGATCGACCTCCATGATCAACGAATCCTGATTTGTACTACCGATTATATAAAAACCCAATTCCCAAAGACACGAAGAGTCTGAAGTCACCGTCTGTAAACTTTGCCAGCTTCTCCCTCATTTCCTGGCCTGCTCATAGTTCGCGTTAAACCAGCTACACGTCTCCTGGACCGCTGCAGATATAAAAAAACACAACATATCATTTTATGAGCATAAAAAGTAAAAAAAAAAAACAATGTTTGTCTTGTTTTCAAACCAGAGGGGAAAAAGTCAGCATTTAGTTTTAGGTCAGCTTTCGCTTGGTATACGGAATCTGCACAGCAGCATTTCACAGGTGTGTATGTACCGCTCAGTGGCTCCCCCCAAAGGATGAAGAACGACTCACCTTGGTTAAATGGGGTAAACTTGAAGTCGGGGAGGTATTTCCTCAGCTTGCAGTTACTTGCTGTTTTTTTAAACTGCCCGTCGGACTTTGTGCTGTCAAACTGAACGTGCAGTTAAGTCAAATCAATGGCAATAAAAACAGCATTTGGTTTCCACAGATAACAAACCTCCTTCTCCATGCAGTCCTCCCAATGCCCATCCCTTCCTTCTCTTCACCTATCCCCCCCTTCCTCATCCAGTGCCCTATCCCCATCCCTTCCTCCCCAGGACCAAAACCCTCCCTGCTCTCCATCTCCCTCCCTGTCATCCCCATTTCAATCCTGTCCTCACATCAAGCCCAGTCTCTCCCCCCCATCCCAACCTCACCCAGGCTCTTCTCCCCCCCCCCCCCCCCCCCCAATCCCATCCTCACCCAGGCTCTTCTCTCCCCCCCAAATCCCATCCTCACCCAGGCTCTTCTCTCCCCCCCAAATCCCATCCTCACCCAGGCTCTTTCTCTCCCCCCCAAATCCCATCCTCACCCAGGCTCTTCTCTCCCCCCCAAATCCCATCCTCACCCAGGCTCTTCTCTCCCCCCCCAAATCCCATCCTCACCCAGGCTCTTCTCTCCCCCCCCCCCCCCCCCAAATCCCATCCTCACCCAGGCTCTTCTCTCCCCCCCCCCCCAAATCCCATCCTCACCCAGGCTCTTCTCTCCCCCCCCCCCCAAATCCCAGCCTCACCCAGGCTCTTCTCTCCCCCCCCCCCCCCCAAATCCCAGCCTCACCCAGGCTCTTCTCTCCCCCCCCCCCAAATCCCAGCCTCAGCCAGGCTCTTCACCCTCCCCCCCCCCCCAAATCCCGTCCTCACCCAGACTCTTCTTCCCCCCAAATCCCAACCTCACCCAGTTTCTTCCCCTCCCCCCAAAATCCCGTCCTCACCCAGTTTCTTCCCCCCCCCCCAAATCCCGTCCTCACCCAGTTTCGTCCCCTCCCCCCCAAATCCCATCCTCACCAGTTTCTTCTCCCCCCCCAATGGCCCCAGAACCTTTCATTGCGCCCTCCCCCTAGAATATGTTCCCCTCATCCCTTCCCTATCCACTTCCCTCCTCCTTCCGCCCCCCCCCCCCATAGTGCAGAACACACATCAGGATACAATCACTTCTCCCTTAAAGTCCATGGCGGCTACGATACTCTCCGCAGCTTCCTTTATGGACACTTCATCTTCTTCTCCCACTGGAAGACATAGAAATACCATCACTGTCTCAGGCCATCACTCACAATCTGTCCTACATTTAATTCAGTCACAAAATGTGAACAAAAAATGGTAACATTTTGCTGTGAAAGTTTTCATGGATGGGACATCAAGGTAGACCTGCCTCTTGTAAACAAAGCAACGGGACTTTTTGAGGAGGATCTCCTTTGGTGGTGGAGTGCTGGGATAGAAACAATCCAAATACATTTCACCTACCAGAGGTAAGGCAATTACAAAGGACAAGGGGCCCTCTTAGTGCCTGGAGCAAAAACAGGCTTAACCTCCACATACAGGAAGGCTTCTTTATAGTAAAAGCTGTATAAATGTGGAACAGACATCAACAGTAGCTTGTTACAGCCAACTTTGGACGGGATTGTTTAACTACCTGCCGACCGCAGATAGCCGAATGACGGCTGCACTGCGGCCAGCCAGTTCTGAGTGGACGTCATATGACATCCTCCCAGGGGCGCGCACCCGGCGATCTCCGTGATCGCTGTGTCCTACAGACACAGCTGATCACGTGATGTGGTAAAAGGCCAATCACAGCGGCCTTTTACCACGTGATCAGCGGTGTCCAATGACACGCTGATCAGAGGGAAATGCAAGTGCCGGTTCTCGGCTACACTTTCCTCACGCTGTCAGATCGTGAGGAAAGTACTGCCGAGAACCGGCAGTTGTCAGAGCGGGGATCGGCACCGATCATCAGGGCACTGATGATCAGTGCCCTGATGATCGGTGCCCAGCAGTGCCACCCGCAAGTTCCGCCCACCTGTGCTCAGCAGTGCGCCCACTAGCTCCGCCCACCTGTGCCCAGCAGTGCACCCACCTGTGCCACTCTGCAGTGCCACCAGTCAGTGCCCAGGGGTTGTGCTAGTCAGTGCCGCCAGTCAGTGCCCAGCAGTGATGCCAGTCAGTGCCGTCTATCAGTACCCATCATCAGTGTCGCCTATCAGTGCCGCCTATCAGTGCTGCATATTAGTGCCGCCTATCCGTGACACCTCATTAGTACTGCCTATCAGTGCCGCCTATCCGTGCCACCTCATTAGTACTGCCTATCAGTGCCGCCTATCAGTGCCCATCAGTGCTGCCTCATCAATGCACATCAGTGAAGGAGAAAAAATACCTGTTTGAAAAATTTTATAATAGAAACAAAGAAACTTTTTTTTTTTTTTTTTTTTTTTTTCAAATTTTTTTGCACATTTTTTTTTTTTTTATAGCGCAAAAAGTAAAGCGTCCAGTGGTGATTAAATACCACCAAAAGAAAGCTCTATTTGTGAGAAAAAAATGATCAAAATTTCATATGGGTACAATGTTGCATGATTGCGCAATTGTCAATCAAAGTGCGGCAGCGCTGAAAGCTGAAAATTGGCCTGGTAAATAAGGGGGTATAAGTGCCTGGTAGGCAAGTGGTTAAAAAAAAAAGCTGATAGGTTTCTAAATTCACAGAATATAAATATACGGGAAAACACTGCACATTGTTAGTCGCGGGGAGTATTAGATTTTACACCTGATGGACTTATAGTCAATTAACAAAGGAAAAAAAAAAAAAGACAACATATCAAAGAATTCTATAGAAGAACGTTTTAGATATGCTGCCATACAAAGACAGAGATCTTCTCACCTGAGAGGATGATGGGCTCCACCTCGTTATATTCCCGCAACACCCAGATGAAGAGTCTGGCCAGATCCTGGAAAAGTCACCGTTACTCCCAACACAACAACAGACTATAGATTCATTGTATTAGATGGAACTACATGAACGCGCTCAGTGATTGTGAATAAACGTCATTTAAACTGCCTGAGGACATACAGACCGCCCTCCTTGTGCCTCTCATATAGGAAATAGTCATCGCCAAAACATCGAAATTGTTCTTGGATCCTCTGGGGTACACATTACATGTGGGACTTGGTCCTGCCCTGAACTGCGCTGTGTGACAAAAGTACATCCCTTTATCTATTTTTGCTGGCTGTAGCTCCACCGCAGGGTGAAGCCCAAAGCCCCCCCCACCTAAAGTGACTCCATTCACATCGGCATCTATGTTCCCGACTTCTGGGCAGTAGTTGAGGTTTAAGTGGAACCCCAATAGAGCGGCCAACCACCTATGCCCGATGGTACCCAACTAGGTAAATGGTGCATATGTGGTACATAGTTCCCTGTTGAAAAAGTCCGGATATGACGAAACGCGTCCGGGGCACGTGATGTGGTGATGTATTGACATTTTCCGGAAGTGCCGTGGTGGCCATTTTGGGTTCTGGAACACGCAGCTGTTCCTACCCTGGAGACTTCCATTCACTGCCTGGCTCTCCTTCAGAGTGGTATGGCCATATAAATATAGTTACCACTGAGGAGTGGGGTTATTTGGACCATCTCACTATATGGAAGCTGATTTCATCTAATTTTAATGTAAGTTGCTACAATAAAATATGTTTGTCATTGTCATGGAAATTTTGTATTTTTGGTTGAACTTTAAATGTGTCATATATTAGTGTTATTGATATGTCTCTCGTGTGGCTTAATTAAAGCTCTGAAGGCTGCAATTGGGCCATGCGCATGTACAATGTATGTATTACAGTACTCAGCTCGGTAATGGATGAGATGGCAGATCTGCGCTTATAGACCGGCGTGTATACCACCACAGCATTCGAAGCGAATGCCGCCGGCGGTAGGCCGCGGGCCTGTATCCACATATCAGCTGCATAGTACCACATGGACTCCGTACCGCAAGGCGCCAAGCAGTGCGAACTCCGTGTGTAGGCTCATGTATATCTTACAACCCATTACCAACCTGAAACTGTATCTGGATGGATGTGTTTTAATAAAGATCGTATCGGACCCATTCAGCATACAGATACAGACTGATGTTTAACCTAGGGGATGCTTGTACAGAGAATTTACATACCACTAGGAGCTAGGACAGGAAGTCTGCTGACCTCAGAGGGCTCATGGGGGAGGACCAGTGATAGATAATAGGAAAGGCTACGCTCCAATCGGAATGTACATCCTGTGTATAGGCATTCCCCATGCATTGTTCTGTGGGAGGGGATTGACCTTATTCATGTGGTGGGCATGTGTCTGCTTATAAATAAAAATCGGAGGCTGGGTTGGATCGGTCTCTATGTGAATTCCAACAGCAACCTGAGAGTGTCGCCTGATCATTTCCGGGTAACGGGAGCTCCATTTCCCCTCATCTCAAGATAGCTAACCCAGTTGGAGGCACAGGAATCGTGGGGGCTAAGCTGCAGTCGTGGTAAGCGAAATTCGCACAGCTTTATGGGGGATTTCTGCGCATCCAACTCACGGTAAGGAGAAATTTGTTCAAAGCGAATTTCCATGACAGTCATCTAATACATGCATACTGATCCCTGGTCTGTTTATGAGGTCTATGGGAAGGGTTTGGAAAAGATGGTAGAACAATATTTGGAGGCAATCTCATCTTTATTATGGATCCTATGCGTATTTTATCTATGTTGGGGTAATTATGTACTTCTTATATTGTGTGCAGTGGAGTTATTAACCACTTCCCGTCCGGCCGTTGTATATAAACGGCCGGAGAGTGGCAGTGCAGGGTCAGGTGGCCGCCTATAAACGGCCTCCCCACACCCTGCTTGTGCACGCTCCCTGGGAGCGCGCAGCACCGCAATGCGGTGCCCGCTGTGTCCTCCGGACACAGTGAAACACCGATCGTCGGACGGGACCTCTGTACGAGGTCCCGATCATGTGATCACTAATTGGCCAAATCAGTGATCACATGCAAAGTAGTAAGCAAGATGTCACTTGTGACATCATTGCTTACTACGTGTGAAATCTGTGAATGATCACAGAGGTCACATGGTACAAGGCTATTCACAAAAGCCTTGTACCATGTGACAAGCTGTGACCAATCACAGCTCACTCAGTACTTCTCAATGACTGCAAGAATGCACACAGAGAGAAAGAGAAATGATTGCTTTTACATCCTATATGGGTGTAAAAGCAATCAGTGTAAAAAAAAAAAAAAAAAATCTTCATCACCCCCCACAAGTAGTACAGTGTCACCATGGTGACACTGTACTGCTAGGGTGACAGTATGTAAAAAAAAAAAATATAAAAAAATAAAATAAAAATGTAAAAAAAAATGTTTAAAAATTATAATTTTTGCTTATAAACTAATTTGGATTTTTTTTTTTGCTAAAAAGATAACGGAATAAATTTTGGCCAAGATTTATGATGAAATATTTATTTGCAAAATTTTATAAAAAAAAAACACTTTTTTTCAAAATTTTTGGACATTTCATTTACATAGCAAAAAAAATACAAATCCCAGCGGTGAATAAATACCACCAAAATAAAGCTTTATCTGTCTCAAAAAAATGGTAAAAAAAATTCATTTGGGTACAGTGTTGCATGACCGCGCAATTGTGATAGCGCTAAAAGCTGAAAATTGCCCTGGTCAGGAAGGGGGTAAAAGTGTCCGGTCTGGAAGTGGTTAATTGAGTTTGGGAGTCCTGATATTTCACGATTGCTGTGGCACCTTAGTTTGTCTGCATGTGACACGTGTGGCACTTCACTATAATACCTGGGATAATACACTATGTTTAGATTTTTTCTTTGAGGTATATGAAGATCTTCTGGAGTATACCATCCATCTTATTCAGGGATAAAGAATTATTGTTAAATCACCTGCAAGAATTTTTGGATTTTAATTTGGACTCTAGGTGTATGGGACACTTTATTTTTATTTATTTCAGTCAAGTTTGCTTATTATTATTTTATTTATTTAGAAAAATGACCCGTTTGCAAAATTTTATAATAGCAACAAAGATATACTTTTTTTTTTTTTTTTTTCAAATTTTTTGCCCTTTTTTTGTTTATAGCACGAAAAAATAAAAAACCCCGGCGGCGATTAAATACCACCAAAAGACAGCTCTATTTCTGTGAAAAAAAATGATAACAATTTCATATGGGTACAATGTTGCATGACCGCACAATTGTCAAACTGCGACAGCGCTGAAAGCTGAAAATTGGCCTGGGCAGGAAGGGGGTATAAGCGCCCGGTAGGCAAGGGGTTCAAAAGTCAAACATTTTTGAGTTTTTTTCAAAATTGTCGGTTTTCTTTGGTTAAAAAAAAAACAAAAAAAAAAAAAACCACAAAGGCGATCAAATACCACCGAAAGCTGTATTTGTAAAAAACAAAAAAACAAAAAACAAAGGACGTAAATTTCATTTGAGTGCAGCGTTGCATAACCGCACAATTCTCAGTTAAAATAATGCAGCGCCATATTGCAAAAAAATGGTCTGATCAGAAAGGGGGATAAATCCTCTGGAGGGAAAGGGGTTAAGATATTCACCGACACACTTTTAAATTTTGTGTTACATACCACAGAATTGTGTTTTTTTTGGGTGAATTGGACATTTTGTTACCACATGCGATAATTTATGCAAGCGAGTCACGTGACCGTGTTATCGCTTGCGGTAACCTTTCGTGAATTGACCCCTATGATTATTATGCGGATTTATCTTCAAGTAGTTTATTTATTTTACAAGATGTCCACCAGTTAGTGACCTTCAGTGTAGAACGTCATCTGATGAGTTGCATTTATTAGAGAAGGTGGACTCACCAATGAATAGATGAACTGCCGACGTGGCTTCCCGGTGCCCCAGATACTCAACGCAGTGCCGTTTTCTGAAATCAGAGCGCAGCATTTCATTTAATGTGACGTCTCAATTCCTGATATCACACAAGAGCACAGCAATAGCTGGAGAAAGTGATGTAGTGCTGGACAGCAGGATGTTAAAGTGTTACTAAACCATGGACCCCGCATTCACTATATCCACCCTCCCCGGACCCCGCATTCACTGTATCCGCTCTCCCCGGACCCCGCATTCGCTATATCCGCTCTCCCCGGACCCCGCATTCGCTATATCCGCCCTCCCCGGACCCCGCATTCGCTATATCCGCCCTCCCCGGACCCCGCATTCGCTATATCCGCCCTCCCCGGACCCCGCATTCGCTATATCCGCCCTCCCCGGACCCCGCATTCGCTATATCCGCCCTCCCCGGACCCCATTCGCTATATCCGCCCTCCCCCGGACCCCGCATTCGCTATAATCCGCCCTCCCCGGACCCCGCATTCGCTATATCCGCCCTCCCCGGACCCCGCATTCGCTATATCCGCCCTCCCCGGACCCCGCATTCGCTATATCCGCCCTCCCCGGACCCCGCATTCGCTATATCCGCTCTCCCCGGACCCCGCATTCGCTGTATCCGCCCTCCCCGACCCCGCATTCACTGTATCCTCTCTCCCCCGGACCCCGCATTCACTGTATCCCGCTCTCCCCGGACCCCGCATTCACTGTATCCCCTCTCCCCGGACCCCGCATTCACTGTATCCGCTCTCCCCGGACCCCGCATTCACTGTATCCGCTCTCCCCGGACCCCGCATTCACTGTATCCGCTCTCCCCGGACCCCGCATTCACTGTATCCGCTCTCCCCGGACCCCGCATTCACTCTATCCGCTCTCCCCGGACCCCGCATTCACTCTATCCGCTCTCCCCGGACCCCGCATTCACTCTATCCGCTCTCCCCGGACCCCGCATTCACTCTATCCGCTCTCCCCGGACCCCGCATTCACTCTATCCGCTCTCCCCGGACCCCGCATTCACTCTATCCGCTCTCCCCGGACCCCGCATTCACTATATCCGCTCTCCCCGGACCCCGCATTCACTATATCCGCTCTCCCCGGACCCCGCATTCACTATATCCGCTCTCCCCGAGCCCCCAGCACTCCTCTGGAGGAGCCCCCAGCACGGATGCAAGCAGTGAGCTGTCTCTTGGGAGAAGTTGTGCAGACATTAAAATGCCATGATGGGCGGGTGTCAGTCTGGAGAAGTGGGCGTTCCCAGGCAGGTTGTATTTACATGCAGAGCACTTTGGTAACATACATTTGATGCCAACCCTCCATAACTGAAATCCAGTGAATTGAAAGGTGTGGGTCTGGGACAAATCAGGCTGGGGAGGAAAGTGCTAGATGGTGCTGGGCGCCCTCCAACCAAGCTGGGGGCCTTTGAACAGTCACTACAGCAGAACTACAAATACCCATCTTTGGATAAAAAAAACACAAAGAACGTGGACCATACCCCCCTCCCCCAAACATATTCAGCAGCAAGCAGCGTTGCTCACGTTTGGCCAGATACACCTTGTGGATGAGCCCCGGCAGGACATGTCCATCCTCTATGTTAAAGTTGTCATGCGAGCCGAAGACGTTGGTGGGGATGACGGATGTAAACTTGCAGCCGTGCTGCTCATAGTATGCCCTGGAGAGGAGAGAAGAGAGGACGTCATTACACTGGGAAAAGGGGGGGGGGGTAGATCAGAAATGGACATTTATATTCTGGGTCCTCATTGAGATTCTCTCACTTCCTGTTCTGGTGACATTTTCAGGAGGTGAGAGGGAATCACACTGTGGACAAAAAGGCAAGAGTAACCCAGTTCTCGCTCTAAAGATTTTGCTTGCGTAGCGCCCTCTAGGTAGATAGGTTTGGTTAGATAAAGGCTCGGTAGCAGCCTGGAAGTGGGGCAGGAGTTCACCTCAGGACAGGTTGGGAGGCTCTACAGGTCAAGGCTTCTGGAGCCATCCCACCCTTCCAGAAACTGGTAGACCTTTCTGGGTCTGCCAGTTTCTGGAAGACATTTCTGGAAGAGGGGTGGAGGAGGCCCAGATCTGTATATTTGAGGGACCTTGGCCAATTCCAAGGCAGGAGGCTGGGCATGGTGACTGGAGGACAACCTTTAAAAGTGGTAGAGTCTGAGCAGCAGGGGAGTCGGGTGGAAGATGGGTTGAGAAGGCTGGAGTGTGGAGCCTGGGAGGGGAGCCTACCTCCAGGCTGGATTCTGGATTGGAGGATCTCCACTGTCCAAAGTCTCCTAGGGAGGACATCTTGAGTAGCAGGAAAGGAGCCAGTCTAGCGTAAGGCCTGAAAGCAGCCACTAACCCACCACGCTGACAGGACAGGACAGTGTCAGTACTCCTACACCCCCTGGGCTGGGTAAGGGGAGAAGGTAGTCAGGTGCAAGACCCAACTAGTTCTCATCCGGGACTACTTCATGGTTGGCTTTTGGGATCCCTTGCCCAGGGATACCCTCAGTGCAGCCGTGTGAAGAGGACTCATCTGAGGTCTGAAGAGGTGGATTCATCTGGGGTCTGAAGAGGTACAGCAAGGAGACTTGGTGCTTCTTAACCACCTCCCCGTCCACCACAATCCGGTGCCCACTGTGTCCCTCCGGACACAGTGAAACACCGATCCCTGTATGGGACTCAGTGATCACATGCATAGTAGTAAACAAGATGTCACTTGTGACATCATTGCTTACCACGTGTGAAATCTGTGAATGATCACAGAGGTTCACATGGTACAGGGACATTCACAACAGCCTTGTACCATGTGACAAGCTGTGACTAATCGTAGCTCACACAGTATTTCTCAATGGCTGCAAGAATGCAGCCAGAGAGAAGGAGAAATGATTGTACAGCCTTTATGGGTGTAAAAGCAATCAGTTAAAAAAAAAATAAAAATCTTTCATCACCCCCCACAAGTAGTACAGTGTCACTAAGGTGACCCTG